GTCCAGGGTGGGGAGAATAATCATTTATATGTTTACATCTCTCTTGGATCTGGACCCCTCCCCTCTTCCTCCAGCTGCTACCCCATCTCTCCTTCTCTTTAAAGGAAACACTGTCAGAGGGTTTTCTAGACTCTGGTCCAACTGGTTTGATGAAATTATTTGTCTGTGAGAAGAGCTTTCTGGGTAGAACAAATAGCAAGTGGACAGGGGTGTTCATGGAATTCCAATAGTCCAGGGTGCTGGGGTGGGTGGGAGGGCAGCAGGGATGGGTCCTGGGGGGAAACCCTAGAGAGAGGTGTGCTTCTCCTCTGTGTGAGGAGCCCCAGTGTTCAAAGCAGCACTACTTGTAAAAACCAAGATGTGGAAGCAACCTAAGTATCACCCAAGAGACGAAAGCTTTAAATGTATATACATTTTATATACATATAATATATATACACATTATATATGTATATATAATGTACATACATATAATGGAACACTACTTAGGCATAAAAATGGAATGGAATTTTGCCATTTGATACAATATGGATGAACCTTGAGGATATTATGCTTAGTGAAACAAGTCAGAGAGAGACAAATACTGTATGTTGTCAGTTATATATGGAGTCTAAAAAATAAGAGAGGAGTACATATAACAAAACAGAAACAGACTCACTGATACAGACAAGAAACTAGTTGTTACTGGTGAGGAGAAGAGGGTGGGGAGGGGCAAGACATGGTAAAGGATAAGAGACACAAACTACTACGAGTGAAATAAATAGGCTGTGTGTGGTTAGGAATGTTTACATGTATGGTTTAAAGTTAAACAAGCCCCGGTTCTGCCCTGAAGATGTTGATGGATGCTGGAGGGGATACAGCTACCTTTGTAAAATAGGTGCCAAGCTTTCTAGCAGCTCAAAGGAAACAGCTCCTCAGGCCTCCTGGAGGAGGTGGATGTGTGACCAAATGTACAATTCTTTTAAGAAAGTGGGCTGTTTGGAGTTTTTATATTTTCTAGATTTAATTTTGTTAACTTTGTTTTCCAGAAAATTATTCATATAGCCTAATATGGCCATTATATAGGTATGAAGTTGTTCATTACATTTTTCATAATACTTTTTTTCCACACTATTTCTTGTCTTATAATAAACTTTTTTAATTGCTTGACAAGGTTCATCTATTTTCAATTAGAAAAATAATACTTTCCTTTTCCAAACCCAACATTTATTTGTGTCCATCACACACAGTGTTTGCTTTCCAACTATTTTAGGTTTTCTATATTAAATTCCTCGCCCATTTCCAATGTTTGAAATTTTATTTTCAATTCCTTGTTGAATGTATGCTTTGTATAATTTCAAATTTGCTAAACAAACAAAAAAAGTTGATCTTCACTGAAAAAATGAAAGCACAGCTGCCATAAAGGGAAACAGACACCAGAAATGAAGTTACAGTGAGTGACAGAAGAATAAATTTTCAGCATCAGGAAGACAAATACGATCAAAAACAAATCAAAGAGAAAAGCAATTCCATACAAAGAATTAAAAATACATGGAAAAACTGACAAAGGGCATAACAGAAAGCTCACATCTGAGGAACTGTAATGATTAGTGAATCTCAAAAGACATCCCTGACTTTACCTAGTCCTAAGAAAAAGAACCTTTTTAATGACTTCCAATCACACCACTACTTTTACATAAATATTAAAAACTCATAACATGCTTTACCTGGCATTAAAGACACCTTTTTTCACAACAGAGACCAGCAAATACCCTTCAAGATGAAACACAAAGCACAGCTCTTTGTGTTTCTTCTATAAGAGACAGAAGGAGCCTGACTGGATCATTGCAATAATGTGGTTCTCAGGGAGAGCCACTTCCCCCATTGGCTTACCTTTCTCCCAGTTACTTTAATGATATAAGATGCTGGGGTCTTTGAAATCTCCTTCAAGGAGAGACTGCTGACAAACCCTAGTTCCATGGTAGTTAACGATCCTGTACTTGTGGGAAACACTGAAAAATCAAAGATCTGTTTTTCCCTGGCTGTTGTTGGTAATAGCTTCATTTGGCTTCACCTGCTGATGGTTTGGTGGCGATCAGGGAAGGCTCCTTCTCAGCTACCACTCACTTTATACCAGTGTTTCCTGACTTCCTTGAGCACGAGAATCCCTGGGACCCTTGTTGAAAGCACAATCACCTGGTGCTTCCTGGAGGACTCAGCAGCAGGACCAGGAGTGTGGACTTTACATGGCACCAGGGGCTTCTTAACAGCAGCAAAGATGTAAACAAATCATTTAGACTCTGCAAATCGTGTATCTCATAAGCAGTTAATATCCAGAATATGTAAAGAACTTATACAACTGAACAGCAAACAAACAAGTACTCTGATTGAAAAATGGGCAGAAGATCTGAATAAACATTTTTCCAAAGAAGATATACAGTTGGCCAATAAGTACATGAAAAAGATGCACAACATCACTAATCATCAGGGAAGTGCTCATCAAAGGCACAATGAGATATCACCTCATGTCTGTTAGAATGGCTATAATCAGGAAAAAGAAAAGGAAGAAATAAATAACAAATGTTAGAGAGGATGTTAAGAAAAAGGGACCCTTGTGCATTGTTGGTAGGAA